GGGCCTATGGGCGAAGGGGCATGAGATCAAGTGCGACACTATGCGGGCGAAGGTAGCCTGAGTGCGAGAGAACATGTGGGGGTGAAACCAGTACGAGAGGGAGAGGCAGCGATCGCGTGCGGGTGGGGTGCAAGCGAAGGTATGACCGTGCGGTGCGGAAGCGACATGGGTACGGTACTGTCGTGCTTAGCGAGCGGGCGGACACGACGGGGCTCACTGTGGACCGCACAATCATGGGAATCGGGACTATATAAAGGTGACCCAGGTCATTTGCGGGGTTTTAAGTCAACCTGAACCTGACTAGTCTTACAAACGGGTTGACTCGAGCCTTGAATTTTTTGGCATGGGTCAAGTTTTGACACTCCTAGGTTGGTGTTTACCTTCATGCCATGGTATGGGCATCAATAGCTGTTTTGCATATTAGAAGCCCGTTGTAGGAAATATGGCATTTGTCCTTAAGTTTTGGTGACTTAAGGTTGATTTCTTCCACCTCTTTTGGTTGCTCATACCACATGCCCCATTCCTTTACTGTTTAGTCTTTGATAGATAGGAGTTACTTATTGAGTTTCAAACACCATATATTTCACCATCACTCTGAACAATATACCCATGATATTAAAAACATGAACTCTTATCAATGACTTGATCATCCAAAGTCACAATCCCCCCACTTGATCTATTATTACTAAAATTATACTATATATATTCAGTTTTAAATCTACTCAAACGAAAGTCTTTAGACTCTTAGGCCGACCTTCATAGGTCAAGTTTACCTTTAATTCCCTCTCTAGTCTTATTAATAAGAAGAATATCATCAACAAAAATCTTGCACCATGGTATAATCTCTTATAAATGTCTAGTGAGAACATCCACGATTAAAGAAAAAAGATACGAGCTTAAGTTTGATCCTTGATGTAATCCAATTGAAATAGGAAAATAATTAGTCAAACCACCTTATGTTTGAACACAAGCAATAGATCCTGCATGCATATCCTTAATGACTTGAATAAAAGCATTATTAACCCATTTCTTTTCTAAATCTCTCCATAGCACTTCTCTTGAAAATTTATCATATGTTTTCTCTAAATTAATAAATATCATATGTAGATTTTCCTTATTATCTCTATATTTCTCCATCAAACCTCTCAATAAATATTAAATGTATAGCTTCCATAGTAGACCTACCCAGCATGAATCCAAATTGATTTTGAGAAACATTAGAATCACGCCACAACCTATGTTACATAAATCTCTCTCATAGTTTATTAAAAGTATGACACATTAACTTAATTCCTCTATAATTCACACAATATTGTGCATCACCTTTATTCTTAAAAATAGGAATCATCACACTCATTCTCCACTCATTTGACATCCTTTTAGTCTTCTAAATAATATTAAAAAGTTTAGTAAGCAAAAAAAAATCCTCCATCTCATAAGCATTTCCACATCTCTATTAGAATATCATTAGGTCAAACAACTTTTCCACACTTCATTTTCTTTAAAGCCTCTCTAATTTTGATTTTACTAATACGCCAATAAAAAAAATAATTTCATTTAGGGTGCTAATTAAGGTCACTAAAGTCAATAACATTCTCATATCTTACTTGAAAAGTTTAGAAAATTATAATACATGAGTTTGAATAATATTTATTAATGGTATATAATGAATATAATATTTATGAGCAGCAGGGTAACAATCCTATTCATGATAAAAGAAAGTCCCACTGTAAATGGTTATAAATTTCACATATAAGTATGGGATGAAGGAAGAAATACTTTGTGTTATTGAATGATATTGTTTTGTTACAATATCCTAGGGGGCTATTAAAAGTAATTATGTTATTTAATTGTGAGTCATTTGACCTATTGCTTACTTGTGTAACACGAGTGCACAAATAATTTAGAACAATCGAGGTTCGACATACTACTAGACATTCAAATTTTGATTCTTTTTTTGAGCACATAAATAACACAAGTTTATTATGTACGATACCTAAGTTAATAAATGCTTCATTTGGGACAGCTTTATACCGCTGTAGATTTTTTGTCTAAAAAATAACATTACAAATCAATAAGAAAGCCATCCGAAATGAAGCCAAAGAGAAAAATTTAGATTGACTAATTATTTTCCGAGGCAAAACCATAAAAAGGATCAAGTAAAAATATTATGTACATGCTATATTTTAAGAAGAATATATGACACACATGGATCATAGTATTGATAATGATTCAGTCTTGACTTTATTGGATAATGATGATGAAAATGAACAGATTCATAAAATTGCTAGTAATATTACAACCATAAATAATAATGAGATGGGGACTAATAGTAAAACAATCGCTTTTTGATGATACATATGACATTTATAAGTTTATATTATCAACGGATGATCCTAGAAATGCATTATTTGATTTACTGTTTTATCCACCACCTCCACTACCTAATAGAGAAAATGTAGATGGTGAAGAAGAGATGGATCAAGAGGAACGATATTTTTAAGATAACTGTGTTTGTATTTGATATATCCTAAAAAAATTATCTTGATCGGGCACGAATCTCGAGGCAAAATCAAGCCGGAAACTTCAAAAATTAAATCCTAGATCACCTGAACTTCAATTTCAGCGAACTTACAGTCAAACTGAGCATCTAGGAAATACGAACTCAATGACACCAAATTCGACTTAATCCGAGCCAAAATGAGTCCAAATCAAGGACCCAAAGCGATGTTGGAAAGTTCGAACCACAATTTGAGTTAACAAACGGTTTCCAAATATGAAATTCTTATAGTCGAATCGAGCGGCCCAATGAGACGAATCCAACGAGCCCAAGATTGCCAAATTCGGACATCATTAAGACCTTCAAATGTCTAACAGACGGTACACAATCAAGGGATTCAATATCGATCGTCCATTGAATCACTCCCCATTTACCCTTGATCTCACATATTTATAGGTCATGCCATCCTCAGAAATCTATAAATATACCTCTCATTTCTCTTGAAAGGGGGCCCAAGCAAGAAGAAGATAAAAGAAGAGAATGATTGAAGGGAAGAAACTCCTCCACGACCACCACCGGAATTTTGCCCGACGCCCAAGTGATGCCAGAATTTTGTCTGACGCCCGAGTGACGCCGGAATTTTACCCGACACTCAAGTGATGCAGGAATTCTACCCAAGTAACACTAGAGTTTCACCTGAACTCCAAGTGACGCCGGAATTCCGCTCGACCTCTAAGAGATGTCGGAATTCCGCCCGATCTCTAAGTGACGTTGGAGTTTCACCCGAATTCCAAGTGACGCCGGAGTTCTCCTTGGCCGCCAACTGACGTCAGATTTTTACTCGACGCCGGACCTCCGCTCGTCTCCAAGTTTCTACCTGATGCTTGGCTTCTATCGGTTATCGGACTTTTTCGCTGGACATATATCCGATACTGTATTTATGTCAATTGTTGGACTTCTACCTGATGCCGTCCTTCTGACCTTTGTCGTCAGACAACGGACCTTACAACCTCTGTCGCCAACCGACTGCAATCCTCCAGACTTACGTCGCCCACCAACTACAATTTTTCCGACCTCCGTTGCCCGCCGACTAGGGTCCTCCAAACTTATGTCACCCACCGACTACAGTCCTTTCGACCTCCGTCGCCCGCCGACTACGGTCCTCCAGACTTACGTCGCCCACCGACTACAGTCCTTCAGACCAAACAAACACATCAACAGAGACTCTTTGCATTCTCATCATATAATGTACTATATAAGATGTACATCAAGTTAAGGTCTTCCCCCAAAGGAAGGGCCTCATTTGTAATCTAATGCAATACTACTGGATTCATTCAAACAGGGGTAGGCCCCATGGTTTTTCCCCATTTTAGGAGTTTTCCACGTAAAAATCTTGGTGTCTCATAAATGCTACACCCTCTCTCTTTTCTGATTGCGTGCCGAATTTTCATACAATGCTAAGACACTAAATTTTATATTTCTATACTGTCGCGAATACTCCAGGATGCAACAATATTAATTATTGTTGTAACATTAAGCCCTAAAATTATTGTTTACATAGAAATCTTAGTATTGTAATTGTACCATGTATTAATATGCATGTGCTTTAGTCAAATTATCATGTGCTTGGTTCATTTACTCCTAATATTTGAATCTTTTTTACCCAATCAAAACTATTTTGAGAGTATTTATCAAATGTTTGAATGTTTTCATAATTATTTTGAAATTATTGAAATATATGTGATTGTTGTAAGTAATTGAAATGTCATGTTAATGTTCAATATTAGTTATTTGACTATTCTTATAATTCGATTGCTATAGACTACTTCGAATGAAACTATTTCCTCCTATATTCGAGAATTGTTTATGCCTCCCCTCCCTGGTAAGTTTGATCTCAAGTTGTGATTCATACAATGCCCTCGATCAACTCATCTTCTTCGCACACATAGTTAGCTGATCCTATTTTCGCCTTCCAAAGAGCTCCATTTCTCATGAGTCATTTGAAGAAGGAACATTCATAATTATGTTCAAATTGCAATTCAAATTGAATACGAATTCGAATTTGTTCTAACCAATTTTGAATGATTTGATGTTAAATGAATCAATTTTGAAATTCTTTTCGGCTAACGTATCTTATATTGATCTATTAGTTGACAGTTTTGACTATCAATAAAGAAATTTTGAATTCGAGTTTTATATAAATGTTATTGTATAAGTTTATCTTAATAGGACCAAAAGTTAATTATTATTTTTTTCAGCTTTCATAGGCGCTTTAGGCTTCGTTTGGGATGACTTTCTAACTGCTTCGTAAAGCAGTTTTTTAGTAAAAAAAATTTAATTTTTCTATTAGAAAGCTGCTTTAAGAAGCAGGAAGAAAGCCGTCCCAAACAAAGCCTTAATTACATGTTTATGTGATGGGAAATATTAATAAAAGATTTAGGTTGTTCATCCTCTGCGTTGATTACTATCATAGTCACTAGTAAGAAGCAAGGATAAGAAAGAAGGTTAGATGGCGTGGCGGCGGGCCCCATTGCCCCCATGTGGCTTTCCTTCTGTCTCCACCAACTACTGCCGCTCAATCATTATTCTTTGGCATCGCCTCACCTCCTCCAACTTGAACTCAAACGCAACTCCAAGCCTCTCACTTCCCTCTCTTCTTCGCATGGCCAATCCCGATCCAGTCGGCGCCGCCACCACCGCTCCTCACCTCCTCTCGCAGACATCATCACCAAATAACCAAAACCAGTTATCCCTACCGTCGGCGAAGAAACAGCCTGCAAAGGATCGCCACAGCAAGGTTGACGGCCGCGGGCGTCGCATCCGCATGCCCATCATCTGCGCCGCTCGCGTTTTCCAGCTCACCCGGGAGCTGGGACATAAGTCCGATGGACAGACCATCGAATGGCTGTTACGCCAGGCCGAGCCATCCATAATCGCGGCCACTGGCTCCGGCACCATTCCTGCTTCTTTCTCCACCTCTTCCTCCTCCAGCATCTCCACCTCTTCCTCGCCTTCTACTTTCATCCTCGGGAAACGCCTGCGCGCTGATGAAGACGTTCCTACCAAGGAGGAGTCTGTGGGAATCGGGCCTACGGGCGGGTTCTGGGCCGTACCGGCCCGGGCGGACTTCGGAGGGCAGTTTTGGAGCTTCGCGGCGCCGGAGATGGTTCTTCCGACGGCGATGGGGCGGTATGTTTCTCAGCCGATGGAGGAATTGTCAGTGGCTAGGGTGGGAAACTATGTTCCGCTTGCGCAGGGACACCATCTCAATCTGCTTGCCTCCTTTTCAGGAGCGCCTCCGTCGAGCGCCGCCGCTAATGGGAGGAGGGAGGAGGAGCCTCGCTGATTGTTGTTTCTTTTCTTGATGGAGTAGGTTTTTGTAGGGTTTAGCTTGGGCTTGTTCGCCGGATTGACGTAGTTAGTGGCTTTGGTCATTGCCTCGTCGTTTTGGCTACTTCATTTTGTGTGGGATTTTTGAGTTTTAAATTGTTTGTGTTGTGGAATTGGATGAATGAGGCAATATTTGTTTCATTCCGTGGGTTGCAGTACGAGAACTCGTTCATCTGGGATTGGGAATAATGCTGATGTGTGGATGAATTGGAAGTTCAGCAATTTAGGGGTGGAAGAAAGACGCCTGGGGACCGGAGGTTTTATCACTGTAGCTGAGAATTCTGACATTGTGACCCGACCTTTCTTTATTTCTATCAATGTGTATTGGTGCCGAAAAATCAAATGAGGGTGATAGCGGAAGAAACTCTGTCTTAAGCCAGTAAGTTCTCTGTATTGAAGCCTATCTGTCTTTTAATTATTTTGTCAGAAGTAGCATATAGATTGTTGTGGATTAGCAAGCGAAAATAAAAGTTAAGTTGCTGTGAAAATGAATATTCTAGTGTTCGCGTCTGTGCTTTTTTTATCCTTCCATGCTTTTTCCATGTGAGTATCTCTGGAGTGGATTGGCAATATGGATTTTTTGAGCTTAATATGTACTTTGCTGAATAATTACGAATAATTACCACTCTATGACCTCTATTTATTTATTTCATTTTTTATATACGATTTTCCTCTTGCATAACTAGCCATGTTTCTTCTAAATTTGAAAGACTCAGCTTCCTTGCTAAAGCCGTTAACTGCATAGGTTTTCAGAAAAATTGAAATCATTTTGTCCACTTGAAGTTTCTCTTAGGGCTCAACGCTCATTTCTAGAATCATGTTGAATCGAAAGTTTTTGCTGATAAAATTTTCTTTTTGGTGTTTTTTTTTTTGCACTGAAATAAATTTAGCTGTGATAGTTCTTTCTTTTATGTATTCCAAATGCTTGTGAAAAATAGACCATTTGCTAGATTTCTCTTAGTTTCCTTCATTGTGACTGGGTTTCTATGCACCTTTAAAATGAATGGTTCATGGTTGGTTTAGTATTTATTTAGGAAAGGTAAATTTCTTGTTTTTCTTTCTGAATTTGCTTTTGCATTCACTTAATTATTTCCAAGAATCTTATGTTCAGAACTTTAATGATTCAATTAACCATTTCTTTGTTTAGCGGCTGCATTGTGAAAAGTACCAAGCAGACTTCAAGGTCTCGTTGTATATTGCAAAACAACATTGATGGTGGTCATCTGAATTTGCTAGAAAGTTAGAATTTATTTATTCAGATTGTCAAATGCAAATACTTTGCGTTGGTGAGATTGTCAAGTTTCCTAGGTTCTCATTTTAAAAAAAAGAAAACTTACTACGTAGATACTTTGAAAAAATACATTCATTTGGTTTACTTGAGATTTATTTTAGGACTTAACAGTCATATCTGGAATAATAATTTTGAACCAAGAGTTTTTGAACATGATTATTTTAATGTTTTACACATATATATTACATTGAAACAAATACAGGGTTCGTTTGGTTACTTGTCTGTAGAAGATATGTTTTGAAAATGGTTGATTTCATTTTCATTAATTATATGTGATGGAGTTTTAAGAAGATTTGTGGTACTTATGTAGCCTATGCTGATTTCTAATTACACCCAACTAAGTGATGAAATTTATAATTTTTATCATTTTTTTAGGGTAAACTATATTTCAACCCCCAAAGTTTTACTCGGATTTCACTTTAGTCTCTATAATTTCAATTGGAGCAATCAAATCCCTATTGTTTGAAATCATTGGAATAACATCCCAACCCCAAATTAATGGAAAAGCTAATTTTCATCCAAACCAAATTGGTGAGTTGCCAATCAAGATCGAAACAGAGGCTTGCTTCTCAGAAATAGTCTTTACTACCAATCTCCCTAATCATAATCCTTTGTGTCCAGTAGGAATTCAAGCAGTTCGATTTATTCAAATTCACAAGTGGGAGCTTGAGTTAAGCGGAAGAAACCCAAAGTTAGAGGGTCACATTTATGCTGTTAGTAAGTGTATGTTAGTATGGCCGTATGGGCCTTGAAATTTTTTTTTTTCCTTCAGGACAATAGTGTTGTTAAACATGAGCAAGGTGCTTGCCTAAGCTTCAGGGTGAGGTGAGGTCATTGTGCCTTATACACCTCTTGGCTAGTACCATAACTAAGGTTTTACTCAGGGCCTTGCCTTATAGAAATGAGTAATACTTCAGAAGTATAAGATGCCAATTTCTTATGATGAAAATTTGATATGAAATGATGTAAAAAGATAATCAATGATTGGTGAAATAATTATTCATATCAGGAAACATTCTATGGTTAAATATCGTAGCCAGTGCTTGAAGGCTTAGAATAGTGAATCTTGATGAAGAAAAAAAAAAGAATGAGTAGAGGAAGGAGATGAAAGTTTATGAATCCATGTTGACCATAATATTATCTTGTTCAAGCTTATTTATTTATTTTCTTATCATGTTCAAGTCGAGCTTGAACATGACCTAAGTTCTAAAATACTATTCAAGCTTGTTTACTATTTTTCTTATTAAGTTCAAGCCATAATTAAGCCTAACTAATTATATGTTTGATGTTAATGGTTTAAATATTTATCCTTATCATAGATTAATAAATTTTAGTCAAATTTATCATAATTAATTTGAAATTATTTTGAGTTGTTTGATAAAGTTATTAACATTAAAACATTTAATTTATATTTTTAGATATTAATTGATATTTTAATCATCCTTATATCTTAATATTTGACTTAATTTTATAGTGCATAAGATGTGGAAAAGTTGATAGAAGAATATAGAATAAGTAGTAAAATAAGCAATTAAGCCATCAATAAGTAAGCATTTTATGAATTTCTTAGCGAGCTACTTATCCAACATTAAATAAGTAAGTTCACAAACATAAATGATGAAGCAAGTCAGTGATCATACTTTCTTATTTATATGAAAAAGTTTTTAAAATTCTAATTAGGTTTGCTCAATTATATAAATAAACCAACTTAAACAACACGTGTATAAACTGAGTATCAAACTCTTCATCGAGCACACTAGTTCACTTACTCACCGAAGTGCCTCAAACAAATCCTTCTTTAACATGTTGATAATAGACTAGGTTCTACTAAGCACATGAGAAAAATGTGCTATTTCCTTTTCAACCAACTAATCATGTTCTATCAATAAGAAATTGAATTAGCCAATGGTTCATTAGCCACCATTGTATGCCAAGGGACTATAGTTGTTTCCCGTTCATTCCCTCAGTACAGATTGCCAATCTTGTTTAAATGATTTGTTTATTTCTAAAATAGCAAAAAATCAAAGCTGTCTTGTGATATTAATTTTTGTTCTTTGTGTTTTACAAGACCTAATTACGAGAGAAGTGATTGGGGAAGCTAAAGAAAATGATGGATTATACTTGAAGAAAAGAATGATTATAGCAATCCATCATTTCTCTCTTTTATGTCAATTAATTCAAATGAAGATATTTAGAATTATATCAATGACTAGAGAATCCATCGTTTAAAATTCTAAAATATTTGTTTCCGCCATTATTTATAAAAAATTATGTTGAACGTTTCCATTGTGAAGTTATAAAAGTATATAAGTTATAAAAACCCCTACTTAAAGCATACAATGAACGCCAAATACCCAAACAACCCTTCCCCAATTCCCTCCCAAATCTGTCATATTTCCTTACTTATTTGCCTCTCAAGTCAGCCCTCAAATGAGCTCCCAAATCTGTCATTTTCAATCAGGAAACATTTCTTAATTAATTCCCTCCAAATCAACCCCCAAATAAGGCCCAAAATCTGCCCTATTTAATTAGAAAATATTTTGTAATTAATCCCATCCAAATCAGTTCTAAAACCAACCATCCAATTTGCCTTCTTCAATTAGGACTTATTTCTTAATTAATGCCCTCCAAATCATCCCCCAAGAGCCGATCTAGGAAAGGATCTGCAAGACCGGTCCAGGAGGGACCCGATTTAACAACACGCCCCTCCCAAAGACCCACCTTATCCGCAAGGTGGTAAAGTGGCTCTCTCCTCAATTTTCTCGTCACCACAAACGATGAGAACCTGAAAAGTTCGGTCCTTACACCTGTGTCCTAGTGTATACATCTCCTCACATCTGAAACACAACCTCTTTACCCTCTTTTATTGTAGCTCAATTTTTATGAGTTTCTTGAAGTTTTTCCTAGGTCTTCCTCCTATAGTATTCTCTTTTAGAGTCTATCTAAGAGTGCCTGGTGTTGGCTCCTTTGATGCCAAAAAGGTTTTGGCTATATTGTACGAACCTCCTGAGCTACTACCTCCATCGCCTCTCTCCAGGTGCCTTTGATCCTTCACTAACTAGGCTAGCTCCATAACCTCTCCCAAATTACGAGGCCTCATCACTCTAACTATCGTCCGAATCTCAGGTTTGATCCCTTTCATAAAATTCTTCTCCATTACAGTCTTCAGAAGCCGGTCCAGTCGGCTGGCTAGGTGCTCAAACTGCTCACGATACTCCACCACTGTTTCCTCCTGCATTAGAGCAAAGAATTGCTCATAGAAATCTATTCCCATTCCCCTACTGGTTCGAAAATGTTAAGCAAGTAGTCCTTAAAATCCCTCAAGGTCCGTATGGGTCGCCTCATATGCCTTCATTGGAACCATGCCAACTGTTTCCCCTCCAAGCACATTGCAGACGCCGTCAGTCTCTCCTCTGTCAATCTATTGACTGTAAAGCACCTTTCCATCCTATATATCCAACCACGTGCATCATCTCCCTAAAAATAGGCATCTTCAGCTTCCTCACCCTAGGATATTCTCCGTTCCTCGTATGCCCTCCATGATTTCCCATTCCCCAAGGAGGTGTTTCCCCCCAGGTATCCCAATCATCCTTTCTACTCTTGTACCCAAACTTTTCATCAAATTTTCACATTTTTCTTTCAAATTCATCACCCATTGGATCATAGTTATCCCATCTACTTTCAAATTCTGCGCCCCTTTGATCATAATCAACCCCCTCTCCTTTCAAATTCAAGACCCATTCGATCATAATTAGCCCCTACCTTTTCAAATTCAGCACATCTCCTCTCAAATTCAGCACTCCTTTCATCCCTGACCTCCTCACGCCTCTCCCCATACCCTCTACTGAGCTCCTCCTAAGGAATGGGCTCTAGGGAAGTCATTCTCTCTTCTCCTGGCAGAATCTTCACATCTTGATCTTCCCTTCGCCTTATCGGATTAGGATTTTGCCCACTTCCTTAGTCGTTGGTGGCTTCCCCCGCCTCGCCTCTAACGATACTGTTTTGGGTTGGCTCTCGAGCAACTTCTTTAACATCTCCTCCAAGATGGAAAATTTCCCATCAATCTTCTTGTGGACGTCTGAAATTTGACTTTTAAAATTTGAAAGTTGAGTTTGGATATCGAAAATTTCATATTTCAATTGTATGATCTCAATTTTCAATACTTCTACCTTTCTTCCTACTATAGGTACCCAGATTTAGGCACCACTTGCAAATAACAATAACTTTGATATGAATCTGGCCTCCAAACAGCAAGATCGGAAACTCAGTTGAAATCAACGAGGAATACTTCTATTTTAGCTCAGTAAACTACTCTAATACCAATTTTATAGGAAGTGCTTACAAAAATTTAGGAAAAGCCTTGTTTGAAATCTGATTTCAGCAATTAAAAAAATAATGACAAGAAAATTAGAAATAGAACACACAAGAATATTTTTTTAATTAAAAATTCTATATATATAAAAAAAAGAAAAGATACAAGTGGATATTCAATTGGAGAGGAAAATCCTTCTCTACACATACATCTAATCCTAGGAAAACCCCCTACTTAAAGCGTACAATAAACCACAAATACCCAAACAACCCTCCCAAATCTGCCATATTTCCTTAATTATTTTCCTCCAAAATCAACCCCAAAATTTGCCCTCTTAAATTATAAAACATTTCCTAATTAATTCCATCCAAATCAGCCTCAAAATTTGCCATATTCAATTAGGAAATATTTCTTAATTAATCCCCTCCAAATCAGCCACCAAATTAGCCACAAAATCAGCCTTCTTCAATTAGGAAATATTTCTTAATTTATCCCTTCCAAATCAGCCCACAAGAGCTGATCTTGGAAAGGATCGACAAGACCGGTCCAGAAGGGACCCGATCTAATATAATTCCAAAAATTAAGTATTTCTCTTTTCTCCACAAAATGTGTCACATCTCCTCTTTAGGAAAGACATTATTAAACATGATAATTTCAGCCAATAGGGCTTACTATCTCTCCTTTTTAATTGGTGGTATATCTTGAAGCAATAAATGATTTGAAATTTCAAATTGAGAAAAATTAGGCTTGAATCAATGAGGAGGGCTCACAAATGATGCAATTTCAAATTTTAAATTAAATAATAATCTCTCCCTTGAAGTAATACTTAAATTAAGAAGTTATATCAATTATTTGAGTAAAATCAAATTAAACAAAACCCTCTTCTTTAAAGAAAAACTTAAATTAAGGAGTTATATTAATTATTAAAGATAATTTTAAATTAAACAACAATCTTTCTCTTGAAGTATGAATTAAATTAAAGAGGAGTTGTACCAACGATACATTATTAGAGGCATCCTCTTTAAATTATAAATTTAAAGAACATATGATCAGTTCCATGAAGGAGTTTATTGAATTATTTTATTGTTGTAATTACAATATAATGTCTATAAGTATGTGGTAGCATTAGAATGGAAAAAATAGCTTGGGTTGAATAATAATATAAGATGCTCTTGCATTTTGCTTTGTGGTTCCTCCCCAATGAGAATTTCGATAAGTTACTCATAAAATATTGTTTGTATCTTATTTCAATCAGGAATAAAGTATGCTTTTTTTTTTCATGATTGTATTTTTTTTTTCCTTTCATAATTCGTGATGGTGTTATCTTCACTCTTAGCCAACCTATTTCTAATTATCTAGGCTTGGCTTCCTATGTATTCCAATATGGCCATAAATCCACTCCCAGCTCATCCCTTTGCTACTACCTTCCATCCCTTATCAGTTATCCCTAAAAATAACATCAATCTAATCCTATTAATATATTCAAATTAAAACTCCCACAACTCGACCATTTTTAGTCTATATAAGGTCACAACCCATCCAACCTCTCTCACAAGTTCAAGACTTGGAATCCATATCAGTTAACTGTTAGACCGGCCCAGGATGGGCCGGTTGGACCGGTCCAGCAGGGACCGGTCCGCGTCTATGCGAGACGGAGCCTGGGCGGAAACGGCTCTGCCGTGAATCCACGTAGGCTTGAGAGGGGGAGTTTAGGAGGGAAATTTTGAACGTGAAAGGCTGTTTTAGGAAGTTTATGATTGTCCTTTATGATTAATTTTGTATAATTAGGAGTTTGAGGGGAATTAGCTCCTCATCTTGAATTTGAGTTTTCTCTTTGAGATCTAGGGTTTGCTTTGGGCTCTTGGCTTTGCCGGAGATCGTGGAGAGTTGTTATTCCTCTCGGATTGAAGAACATATTGTATCTTTGCTGTTTTCTTTGATTTCTAGTGAAATACAAGTAATATCTTGTGTTTTTCTCCTGTTTTTCCCTATTTCCTGCTGCGTTTTCACCGAATTCCTGCTGTCTGCTGCTGTGGACAGCACTTGGCTGCTGTATATTTACTGGTTTGGGTTAGAGATACTTGAGAACTCAAGTATTTCCTATCATTAACTTCCCAACCTCTTATATTCTATCTTCTCCTAACAATAATCTTAATCAACCTACTGCTATTAGGAAAGGTGATAGGAAATGTATTGAACATCCCTTGTACTCGATAAACATTCCTTGAGAAGTTTTCTCCTACATAGGAAACATTTCTTATAAAAATCAGCATCATTGAAATTCCAAAAATCCTATTTTAGGCATTAGGAAATAAGAATTGAATGGATATCATAGGAGAAGAGATGAATGCTTTAGAAAGGAATGACACTTGGGGAGTTTTTTTAGCTACCTGAGTGGTTGTTTAGTTGGGTTTTTTTAAAATACACAGATTTTAAAAATATATTGGCATTGAAATGCATGTGTTTTAAAAATAAACAAGTTGTTTGTTTGGATGCAAATTGAGTCCATTGATTTTTATTTTTTTTTGTGTTTTTCATGATATATTTCAAATGCATAATAAGGGCTGGCTTAGATGACGAATGATAGTGGCGATGAGCAGAGGCAAATACTGAATGGTAGTAAGTGGTGTTGGGTGACGACGACAGTTGCAACGATAGAATAAGGCAAGGTGGCAATGGCACAGGCAACGACGACGGCTGGTAATCGCTGGTGGGGAAGGTGAGGCGAGGATGCAAGTTTTTCTGAGTTTGGAATTTGCCTGATTAGAGCAATTTCAAATTTATAAAAAATGTGCATTCTGGGATATTTCAAATTCTTTCTATAAATGCTTTATATTTAGTTTACATCAAACATCAAACCAAACACCAAAAAAATTAAAATTCTTTCATTTCTTGTACTTTACAATCATAATACTTGCAACCAAACATCCCCTTATGGAAGAAAAGGCAATGCAATGTAAATGTGTGTTTAAAACATAAAGTTTATGGAAACTTAGAAAAATATAAAGCCAGGCTAGTAACAAAATGATGCACCTAAACTTTTGGAATAGACTACCAGGAAATGTTTGCTCCAGTTGCAATAATGCATGCCATTCACATTTTATTTTCGTTGACAGCTAAATTTGGATGGTCTATATGATGTATTATGTTAAAAATGCTTTCTTATGTGTTGGGAAGGTGAAGGTTATATAGATCCTTCATCATGATTGAACAAAAAAATTTTTTTTTACTCAGGAAAAAACTCATTGCAGCATTTGAGATAAAAAAAACTCGACAAACCTAAGTACTTTCATACTTCCTCGACATAGAGTTACCAAACTTTAAATAAGGATATTTATCTCTGAACAAATATATGCTTTGCATCTATTGAGAGAAACAAATATGACATACTGCAAGCCATGTGATACTATAAAGGAAGTGTTCCAGATCCTGAACTTTGATGAAGGAGCTAAAGTTGATGAAGGACATCAAAAATTGGTTAGAAAGGCGATTTATTTTTCACAGGCTTGTCCAAATATAATATTTATGACAAGCATGATAGGTTAATTCTTTCATAAACAAAAGGAATCTTGCCTCTAAGCTAGTCATAAAGTTCTTAGGTTTTTTTATCAAACATTGGGAAAGGCATTCTTTATGAAAGGCATTAAAATTTTGAACTGATAGGTTATACTGATGCTTATTGTTAAAGAACGATGAGCCAAATACAAAGAGAAATTATAAATCACGATCTGTAAAACCCAAACAAACACAAGAGATTTATGTGGAAAACTCAAATATGGGAAAAACCACGGGGGAGAAGGGAGAATGACTTCACTATAGAGAAGAGGCATAATACAAAACACTTCACTAACCCTAAGCCTTTACAAAATACTTATAGGCAAAATTAGGGTTCCAAAAAACAAGAGGAATTCCAAAAATACCCATATAATCAAAATTAGGGTCGAACCCCGTCAGGGGGCGCTACCCCCTTAGACCCCCGAGATATCTGCAAAGTGTTCGACTGTCAAGGACATGAACAAACACGGGTCAAGCCAAATTCGAGGTAATTCCAACACTTATTATATGTGATCACTTTTCAAACTAATTTATATTACTAGGAGAAAAATTTGTAACATCGAGATGCAAGAAATAATTGGTCGTCTCAAGTTCAAAATTATCGAAGGAGTTTTGAAGATTAAATGGGAAGGACCTATAAGATTTTATTGTGATGACAATTTTGCCATTAGCATTGCCCACAACCTAGCACAACATGATTGCACAATAATTTTATTGAAGAAAAATTTATGCCCTAATGGGTAGTCAGATCTTTAACATTATTCATCTGGGGACTTTGTAATTACTTTAGAAAAAATTGGGAATGTTAGATTTCTGCCAACAAATTTTAGGGGATACTGTTGAAGGTTCAAATGCAGGAAACAAAAAAAATTCATCACCAACAACATTACAAGGAAACAGATTTGGAAGCATGGAGCATGTTTGCAAACAACTGGTCTTGATTGCGGTGTAGGAAAGATGACTATACATGGAAGGCAGAAGGTCGGCAGACAGTTGGAAGAAGCAGCAAAGGCAAATGTTGCGCAAGCAAGAATAGGTGGTGGACATTCTCAAAAGGAATGTTGCAGGTATTTCAGCATTGATTGGTAGCAAAGATGGAAGGATTGACTAATATAAAATCTTATTGAATATTTTTTTTTAAATTATTGTAATTTTTGGAAGTAATGACTCTTCCTAGAATTATATAGATTCCTAAAATATATTTGCCATATATATATATATATTTCCATTATATAATGTAAATATTTACAAGATAACATGACACAACTATGACTATCTTAATTATCAAGATTTAATATATTTACATGAAATTATTGTAATTATTAGAACTTAGGCGTCATGTTATCTTAATGACAATTTAACTTGTTTGATTCTGTAAGGTTCAGTGCCATCTTAAAAAGCAAATATTCAGTTAATATCTTGGTAGCAGACTAGCAGCTCTACCAAGATATGAAATTCAAATGACGGTTTAATATTGTTAACTCTGACATATGAAAGTTAACTGAACATACCCTTAGGCTTCATTTGGGACGAGCAGCTTTTGAGTACTAAAAAATTGTTTTAAGAAGCGGTAAGAAAACCGTCCCAAACAAAGCCTTAGTCGGTTATCGCTTTTCTTCTTTCTTCTTTAGTATAATTGGACACTGTAATGTTGAGATCAAAAGAAAGATATCCAAAATACTTTTAGAAACTTGCCATGCCAGCACCCATAAGGTGCCATCAGGTCATCCTCTAATCATCAGATTTGTTGAAATCAACTGGGCTCAATCATTGTTGCTATGTTGTTGGAGTTTTTTTGAATTTCATATTCCTTATTAGTATTGGGAAAGTCCACCCCACATGATAATGTTGTTGAAACAGAACAGATATTTCTTAGTGCTTATTCATTTGTGACTAATTGCCATTTTGACTAAAATGAGATATTTTTTCTTGGCTTTGTCCTTTTCAGTAACTTCATATATTTAGAGGCAACTACTGGTAGAGCTCTTCTCCCTCAATACATCAATGATTGCAATAATAGTGATCGCTTAGCTGGAAGAAGTTTCTTTAGTGATAAATTTTAATTATTAGATTCCTATTATTTGTTCGCCTCTTTCTCATTAGTCTTCAGAGTGATTTTCATCTTTTTTTTGTTTTTCTTTTTCCTTCTTTGAATTACTTGGGTGGGTTTTTTTCTGTTATTTTCATTGCTGTTTTTATATATTCATCTTGTTATTAATTTTTATGATTTTTTAATCTGCCGACCAATTGACTTGTTTGACTGTTCAACTTACCCAATTGTTTTATTCATATCCTCTTAGGTTTTGTTTGGGACGGCTTTTTTACTGCTTCTTAAAGCAGTTTTCTAGTAAAAATTTAATTTTTTTGAACTACAAAGCTGCTTTAAGAAGCAGTAAGAAAGCCGTCACAAACGAGGCCTTAGTCGCTTCGTTGTTGTTGTAGGGATTAGATTCTTTTCTTTGAATTTCCATTGAAAGCAGTTTTCCCAAAATGGTTGGTGATGTTCCATCAACTGGAGCTGGAACTGGAACTTTTGAGTGTTTTTATGCTTTGCATTGAATTCAAAGCATCAGCACAGTATTTTAGTGGAAAGTTATGTGTTTGTATTTTTGTTTCTTATTTTATTTTTTTAGTTTAATTAGGTAATATATTTGAGCTTTTGAGTTTTTATTTTTCTCTCATATATAACACAAGTAGCATTATGTTTCATGTCATTAATCAATATTTGTAGTAGGGGTGTAAAAAATTGTCCCGACCTGTCAATTAGATATGAAAATTTTGAATTCGGGTTAACTCGTTTAATTAATGCGTCGAGTTCAGGTTGTGCATTCCGATCCGTTTATTAAGTAGGTCATGTTCAGGTTGACCACCAACCTGAGCTTGACTTGAAATTGATCCATTTAATATATGTTTTTAATTTTTTTATTAACTAACTTAAAATTTATTGTTAATAGGCTAATAAAAGTATATTTTTTAATAAAAATGGGTTATCCAGTTGGTTTGGGTTGTTAGCAGGTCGGGCTTGAGTTTAATTTTTTGATTCGTTTATTAAATGAGTTGGATTCGGGTTGGATCCAAATTTCACTGTTAACTTGTTTTGACCCCTCTACTTTGCACTTGCAAAATATATAGATAATATTTAATTTTTCATTAACTTAATCTTACATATCTAAATCTGCCTTTTATTTATTTTTCTTTATATATTAAATGGCAAAAGTAATGAAATATATTAAAATATTCTCCATTTAACTCGTGAGTTCATTATATTCTATAAGATAGAAAAGCTTTAATAACTTAAATGAGCGAGGAACAATTTTCCTATTTTTGATCTTATGTTTCATTTCTCCAAATATTAAATTTATGTTGTCCGAAGACTAATCAGAATGTGTCACGTCATCTTTTCGTTGGGTACCGCGGCTCAGTATCGTTGACGTGTCTGTACCTCATTCGCCTATGGACATAGAGTCGTCCGGCCTCTGCATAGAATAATTTCTCTAAATTTGGAGAGATGTGTTTCCATGTTATATAAAAATTCAGCCGAAATTATCCCAAATATATGAAGTTTTGGGCCACCTCTTTCTCTCCGCAGTCTGCTACTAAGCTTTTAATTGCTATCCTTCAAATAAAATCTCATCTTAGGTCTAGAATTTATCACGCAATATTAATTTGTAAGATAGAAAAATAAATTTTTATTAATTATTGGAACTTATGGTTGGGTACGATTCGGCAAAAAAAATATAATATATAATAATAATATGAACTTATATTTATTTAGGGTTAGGGCGAATGCTAAATTTAAATTAACAAGAAGCAACTAGTATAGAAGAAGTCTCTTGTTTGGCACTCTATTACTTTCGATGACTTTGGCTTCGTTTGAGATGGTCTTTTTGTTGTTTCTTAAAACAACTTTTTTGTTAAAAAATTAAAATTTTTATATTAAAAAGCTGTTTTAAAAAGCAACAAGAAAGTCACCCCAAACAAAGCCTTTGGCTTAAATGGGGGTACAAGCATCGTATCTATAAGCACTTATAATCATCACAAGGATTTGCGCACATACTAAACCGTCGATGTTACATGTTATCAAGCCAATATACTTCACCCATATATTTAATACTTAATTTTTTAATATTTATTTATATAATATTTTTATTTTAAATATTATATAAATAAATATAAATATTTAAGTATAGTATTGACTATTTGTAGCATATTAAAATTCCTACCCATTTTTGTCTCATGACAACTAGATGCCAAAAAATATCCTATATTTAGTTCCCATTTGATAGATTTTTTGAGGTGCATATTTTCGAAAGAAAAACAATATATCACAATTTTGTCTTTTATATAATTTTGATTAATGCCTCCATTTTTCTTTGTGGGATAGAATATAATGCAATAAGGAGAAATAAAGTCCCACCATTCTTATCCTACAAAAATGCATAAATTGCAATTTATAGTGTAGGATAAGAATAATGTGTCTCTAGTCTTCCTTATTGCATTATATTCTCTCCCAACTGCGGTTTAATTTGATCCTCCTGTGCTTAACTTTGGTAATCAGTGTGCTTCTCTTTTAATGGATCAACTTTGTTTAGTTCATCTGGATGGTGTGGGATATGCTAACAATTTGGCTTTAATTCCTAATGTTGTTCTAACAATCGCTTTACCTAGTGTTGTTGATAAGGATTTTTGTCTTGTTAATATGGCAGTAGTGAATGGATCTTCTACTAATGTTGTTGATGATTCTCCTCTAAATTCTATGGAAACGGATTTCTTGCTTAATCTTGTTAAACTGATTAGGCATGAGCCTTTTTTGAGATTCGGATTTCTCTTATTTCTAACGATATATGCTTTGAAAACTCAACTGTCTTTTAACCCCAAGGATACTTATTTAGATCACTCTAATTGGTTGGAGGGGCATGCTTCCGCACTAGGTGGGGGTTTTGGGGAAGAATTGGATAATCAGATAGATTATTTTTAGGAAATGTATAGCTTGAATGTTGCTCACATTATTGAAAAAGCTTTTTGCTGTGGTGGTGGTAGAAGGATAGGAGAAAAACTAAAAGAAAGTAAGTACGTTGTTCTGTTTGATGTTGTTGTCTTTGGTTTTGGCGGCTGGTTTTGGTGTTTTGGTGGGGGTCTTTTGTGTTGTCTGTCCCCTTTCTCTTGTTTGGGAGTTCTTGTTGGATGGGACTGGCTGGGAGTGGCTTGTTTTGTGGTTGTTGCGGCTATTTGGGTTGGGTTGTTGGTTGTCGGCTACTGTTGCAATTGTCCCTTTTATTATGATGTCTTTTCTCTTCCTCTTTTTTGCAGGTTATCCTCGCAGGTTAGTGAGGCATTTTGTTTTCCTTGCTAGCTGGAGCATTTTGCTGTTTTGGTGGTCCAATTTTTGAGTGGCCTTGGTTTTGCTTTTCCTGTTGTAGTGCTCGTCTTGGTGGTTTTTTTGTTTTTCTTTGCTTGTAATAGGTTGTTTCATTTGCTTATATGTTTTGTTTCAAATATTATATTTTTAGATAGTTGATGGATCATTAAGGACTTGTAATCTTTTTTTAAATTAACACGTAGGCCGCTCTGTGACTTTTATCCAAAAAAAAAAAAACTCCTAAAATGAAAATGGGGGCCTTAATACTATGGTTGATTATTTATTGTCCAATTTAATATACTTTTCTAATATTAGCAAATTACTGTTCTTATTATTCCTTAAAATTACTTGCATCCATTTCTCTATATAAATTAAAGTTCATGAAGAAAAAATTGAGTTTTTATGTCTCATAATTTTTATAAGTAGAGAAATATGTTTACTATTTTAAAATATCTTCCAAACAAAAAAGTCACTGTAATTTTATAGATGTTCTAATTTATATATGCAACCTTTTGCTCAAGAAATTCATCAACCCCTCATTTTATTGGCATCTTCTTCTTATTTTCAAAATCAGTTTTGAACAATAATTGAGAAAGCTTTGATCAAATGTTGAACAATAGTCTGAGTGTTCAATCATGTAAACCCTAAAGCTTTGAGCAAAGTTTGAATTCATTATTTTTTTGCTCATTTGAGTCATCTTATTAAGCGAGCAAATATATGCTCAGATCCCATATAAATCTAATATTATGTGTCTAACAAAAAATATTTTAAAGGGAAATCTTCTTATTTATTTGATTAATTTCACTTTTTTATATCATTTTATCATCATTAAACACCGATCGAAGTTTTCC